AGTTTACTCCTATTTTAAAATCAAGGGTTTATCTTTTTTTTTTTTTTTTCTGAAAGATACCATGCTAACTCTTGAGTAAACAAAGCGGGAGGTAGGACAGTAAAATGGTTTGGCTTATTTATGAAAGAAGTCAGAAAGGTCTCTTTAAATTTATGAAATTGGGAACTGGGCTACAGAAGAAATGCAGTCTTTTTGAAGGTATTTCTTTCTTACTAAGAAAAACCTATGAGAAAACTTAGCCCATTCTTTTTAAACCTGAAATCTAAATGACAGTTGTACTGATATAAATGGGGGCTAAAAATCCTACTTAACCTCAGGAGGACAATATTTCTTATATCATTGTGGCTTATACTCATTTTTTGAAAGCATGACTCTGAATATTGCATGTAGGACTATGTGTCAATTGGTACGGTCGCTAGGTACCAGTGGGACAGTCTGAGTGATATAGCAGTTTCTCAAAATTTAATGTATCAAGATGTTCAGCTTGGGATACCATTTTTCTCTCCCTCCCTGAGGGAGATATGCATGTAGGTGCAATATTTGTCTCTTGACATTTGCAGTGGTGAACTAGCCAAAATTTACATAAAGATAGGTGATCAGTCCTATCAAACACAAAGCCAAGCACTGCTGCCCTCACTTGGCTGCCCTCCTATATAAAAGAAATCACAGTACTTCCCAGAATTAATCCCTGGAGGTATGTTTTTTTAGTTGTCATCTTCCAATGATCTGCAGAATCACTTAGAATTCACCTGTGGCTTGTAGTATGTAACATATAAACATGCTTTTCTCTGTTTTCTCACTGATCCCGTGGGTTCCTAAGCACAGTTTGAAACCACTTGACTGGTTTTAGAAAAACACCAAATCTTGTCTTTCACATTTTTAGTGGTGAAGAGTATACAACTTTGATATTTCCATAACTTTCCACACTGAAAAGTGTGCCTTTTACTTCTAACCTTAGTTTATCTCTCTCCAGCTTTCACTTTGATATGTCATTGTCCAGTAGACGGAATAGTGTTCTAGAATCAATATCCTACCTCTGGGAGGTAGCTGTGACCCCTCCGATTTTCTCCTAGATAAACTAAATGGCTTGTGATTTTTAAGCTTTTTCCTAAATGGCATGTTTCTCAATCTCTAACCAATTCTGTGGTTTTCCTCTCAGTGTTTTTCACTCTATTATGGTCCTTTCTAAGACTTTATTCATGGGAACTTGATGCAGCAGTCTAATAATAACAGAAGAGAGCATAATGCCTCTACTCTAATTGATATTCCCTTTCTTAAATAAATATCCAAGAATCCCAGGGATAATGCACAGAGATCTTGGGGTTTGCTACTTAATCACCATAACTCAGATGTTCTAAGGGGTGGACACAGAGTACATCTGTTCTCCATGGACAAACTGTATGGCACTGGAGCATCTCCCAGCCAACAAACGATAACAGGGAAGGTTACGGCCCATTGACTTCCTCAATAATCCACCCCTGTAATTTTTTTCTGCATCAGTGCTTTCTAGGATTAACTACTGTACCATTAACTGTGAGCGTATTTGGTCTGTATGCTCTCTCCATAGTCAGTCGCGAGAAACTGGACTTTCCAGTCCACCACAGCATAACTGCCTAAAACCGCTGGGCTAGAGTGCCCTCTGATGGGTATCCAATTCTCTCCGTGAACAATGAGAACCTGCGTGACAGGCTTACACCAGACACTTTCAGAGGATTAAAACGAGGTCGGGTGGATGCCGCAGGCACTGGGCAGTGCTGTCATTGGCTATTTCAAAGCATGAGCTGCATAAGGACTCAGATTTACAGTTATACCCAGTATCTACATGTCTGTCTCCACATTTCTATAAATCATCTTATTACTTCTCCAAGGTTTTTGTCATCTTCAAAAGTCATCAGTAATGACTGCATTTTTCCCAGGTCATTGTTGAAAATGCAAATTAATGAAGAAGTAAAAAATTAGCCTAAGTGGTGGTCTCTTAAAAAGAATTCATTTAATAATGTTTCCCTTTAACGTAAACTTTTTTAAACTTGTCATTTAACAAGCTTTGAAAACATTTAGTATGCATGACTTTCATTCCATATGATTCAAGTTGTGTGGTATCAAGTGGTACCTTATGAAAGTCATAATTTGATGCTATTCTGTTTGTAAACCAGATTTCCAAGTCAGCATGATAAGATTTTCCAGGTTTATTAATAATTATATTATTTTCCTTTTAATTTTTATTAATTGAGTTTCATATCAACTGTTAAGGGGTTTTTTATCATGATCCCAGTTGGGCTGACAAATTTGTAATTACCTCTGTTATCACACTTATACATCAGTATGTCCTTTTGTGCAGTAACCATGATTTGCTATAGGTCTTCCTACAGAAATCATCCAACGCTTTAAATTATCCCGAACCCTTAGAATACAGATTAGCCAATGTGCTAGAATGTTTGCCAGAAAGTAAAGTCTGAGCATAATCCAAATTTCTCACCCTTTAAGAGGGGGTTTTGTGACACTTTATTATAAAGATGCTCTTTCAATTTTTATTGGGTTTAGTGATTTTTAAAGTGAACTGAGAAGCTGTAGCAACAGTGATTTAAGTGTAGGCCTTTTCAACAAAGGTTTATCACCTCACGTCAGCCTTGCTGCTCTGTCCCAAAATCTTTCTCTACACCTCTACATCAAATTGAAAAATCTGGGATTTTTTGATACTGGGTGCAAAATAAATATCTGTAGTTCATAGGGCTAGGTCTCTATTTTGGACCCCGCAGTAATATTCCATGGCTGTTTTTCTGACCTGAAAAAAATACTTCTCTCTTCTGCTACAAAAATATATTTTGCTTTAGAACAAAGAATGGCACCATCCCATGCTTTGCACAGGGAAGAACAGAAATGTTCCATGAGCATATGGTAGGAGTTATACACAGTTCCTCTTGATATATATCAAAGCCATTGGTGGTAGAATCCACTTGCCTGTTTTCATCACTGTCTAGTTTATGAGGCCTCATGCTGTTCTGCTTGAGAATTCTCTAAGCAACAGAGAAAGTTGCAGAAGCACGAATTTCATCTTATGCGCCACAACACTATGTACTCTTAAAAAAAAAAAGTAGTGCTGAGGAAACCTCAGTTCTGTGCCCTGGTCAGCTTGAGGAAGTTTAAACTTCTAGTTTTTATTAAGCCAGGGAGTCAAACATCTGTGGAATATTTAAGGCAAAAGCCTGTTCCACTCATGTCAAAGCTGGACCTGTGCAGCCAGGAAGGCATAGGGCCAGATAGACTGTAGTTCCAGACAAGCTCTTAGGAAGACATATTATATAAGAAAATTTATATAGATGAACCTGGGTACAGAAGGAGAAACAGCCTTGGAAACAGTGCCCTTTCTTGACTGAATTATGCAACTGCTCAGATAATGTCAAAACACCTTTTGTCCGACTTTTTGGTGGAAGGTAATCTGTCCTTTCTCTTCCTCTTCCACCTTAAAATGGCTACTCACCCGAAGACAACCAGTTATGGATTCTAGCATCTCGAGTCTAAGAGAGAAGGAAGGCCTGAGGACAATAAGTAAAGCACAACTTCATCACGAGGTTGTAGTAAAGGTCAGGATATTGACCACCTTCTTTTATGTTAAAAGGTACTTGCACTCAGAATAGAGCTAAGGAGATGGGATTCTATTGGCATTTTCTGCCAGTTCCTTGCAAGGCAACTGGAAAGAGGCAGACTTACTGACTGGATGAACAAAAGACATCTCTGGAGCTCCCCCATCCTCATTTGGTCTATGTCCTCTATTTGACTTTCTGTTTCTATTACGATGATTGAATCGACCCTCTGTTCGCCCAGTTCTCCCCCTGAAATGAGCACCTAAAATGTAGGCACATCTGCTCACAAATGAAGGACAGTTGGAGCCTTTCCATTATCTACCACATGGGAGCAGGATTAGGTTCGCTGTCAGTTTTGGGGAACATGAAAGGGATAAAGAAGCATGAATTATGCATAACAGAATTGCACCCTACTGGTTTCTTAAGACATACAAGATGTTTCAGTCCCATTGTCATCCTAACATACTCTCAGAGAAAATGCTTCACACAGCCAGAGGTAGTTCTCGGAGTGTAGCAAGACTCATCCAAGACTCCTGGTATACCACCGTATTGACATTCCTCTTCTGCTAATGAGGTATGTTTCATGTTCTTAAAGGTCTGGCAGCATGTTACAGTTTGCTAGACTGGCTGAGACTATATGAAATGTCTCAAGAAATAAAGTGAGTAGGGAAGGATTAATTAGAGAACTGTTAAAAAACCTGAGTGTTTTTTTTTCTGCATCTTCCTTTTGATTATTTTCATTGCAGCTAATGGAAGGAAAGAGAGTATTAAACTAGCAATCTGATCACAACCCTCACATACCTTTGGCTTAGACCCAAAGTCTTCCAGGCAGTAATACAATCTTTTAATACCAGACCTAATTGAATGAGAGTCTAAATTAGTAGGAATTACCTTTTTATGAAAGATTTTTGACAGTACTTGGCATGACACAAGAGCCCATCTATTTCTCCCAGGGACAACTGCGGGTTATCCAATTTTCCTACTAAGACTCCTCACCCGCCCTGGTGCAGTTCGGTGCTTTGAGTCATTCAGCCCAGAGATGACTTTTACGTGGCCACCGCGGGGCCGAGCGTGACGGGACCCTCGGGTACGCGGCCTCTTTGCTGTCGGGGAGCCCCTGGCACACGGCTCCCACCGCACCCACCCGCCGGGAACCCGGCGTTCGCACCACCCCTCCTGCCACTCTTTGGCCGGAGTGGGGACGGCGTGGCCGGTAGCTCAGGGAGGGCCCGGGCACCGCTCCCGCCCCCTTCCCCCGGGCCGCCTCTCCCCCCCCGGCCCCCGGTGCGGAGCGCGGGGCTCCCGCCGCTCCAGACCCCGGCGGCGGCTCCTGCCGGGCGGAGCGGGGCTGGGCGGTGCGAGGCGGCGGGCGCAGCCCCGCAGCGGCAGCTCCCGCCTGCCACTGGGGCACGGCCGTGCGGGCCGAGGGGAGGGGGCGGCGGACCCGGCCCGGCCGCTCCGCACCTCCGCCGAGTTTGGCCGGCCCAGAAGGGCAGCCAAAAGTTCAGCATGCAGGAAGTTTGGAGGCAGCTCGGAGAGTAGCGCGTCGGCGGCGACTGCTGCTTCCCGTGCTCTGGGGTTTTGCTTTTTTTGCGGGGATTGTGCCATTCCCCCTCCGCCCCTCCACCCCCCCACCCCCTCCCGAATACAACTCCCCCAAACACACAAGCAACCCGCAACAACAAAAAAGTCCGGCAAGAGGGGAAGAACACGAGCGAGGGAAGAACCCTCGGCGGGAGAGCCCGTTTCTTCTCAGAGACACGGTCCCGCTCGCAGCTGGTCCCAATGCAACTGCTCATCCTCCTCCTGCTCTACGCCGTCGTCTGTGCGAACTTTTGCAGCCGTCAGGGGACCACCGCCCCTGCCCAGAGCGGATCTATAAAAGCCCTGCGGGCCTCCAACATCAGGCGAGATGGTAAGTGTCCTGCCTGCTTTATTTGTTCCCAAGGGCTGCATTTGTGGGGGGAGCCCTGAGCGAACCTCTGGGCTGCTGTTCTGTCCCGGGAACGGGGGTCGCATCCCCAGGGGAGGACGGGGGTCTGTCTGGGTGGAGGTCCCGTCCCCGAGGGGTCAGCCGGGGGCATGAGGGGCAGTCCCTGAAGTCTGGTCCCTGGAGACTGGTCCGGGAGCGTGTGGCCAGGTGGCAGCAGGGACGTGTGGATTGAGAGGGCAGCTCTGCCCAGCGACTGAATCTCAGGGCGGTCCCAAACTTCTCAGGGCAACTTCGAGGAGGTCTCCTGGGAGTCGGCGGTGCCGTCAGTATCCCCTCCGGTCTGCGGCCGGCACCTCGCTCCTGACAACCATCGGGCCCGTGTCCCCCGTGTGACTGTGATGTGCCGGCGACGGGGGCAATGCCGGGCAAACGGCGGGTTTGTGGCGGGAGTGTGGGTGGTGGGCGAAGCCGTCGCCTCAGGGCTTCTTGTGGGAAGTGGGGCTCCTCTCCCAGCCCCCCCCCCCCCCCCCCCCCACCCGCAGCCGTCGCCGTGTTTGGCTCCTGTAAGGGCTGTCGGGGTGCCGCCCTCCGGGTGGGAGACTGCCTCGACTGGAGTGTCCCAGGGCTCGGGGTTCCACTGGGTCTGCTGGGCAAGCAATGCCTCGCCGGGACTGGCTTCGTGCCTTGTGATGCCCAGGGATGGTGAGCACCCTGCAGGGCGGCCGCGGGCTCTCGGATACTGCCCGTTCGGTAGGAAGGGTGGTGTCAGCTGGCGTATCTGAACTCTGGTGGTGTTCCCGCCGCTGCCAGCGGAGGATGCCCTGGACAGCCGAGACGCTGCCGAGGGTCCGCAGCACGGCTGAGTGGGACGCAGGTGCCTCGAGTGAAAGGGCAGCGTGGCCAAGTGCTGTGGCCCCATGGTGAATGAATGGGGAGGCTGCAGAAAAATAGCTCTGCTGAGAATCTACCTCTGGAATCCACACCTTTCGCTTTGGGAAGAGTGATGAGCCTCTCACTGGGAAGCAGCCTGTTGTGTTCCAGCCTCACGTGGACCTGCTTTTGCACGTTGCTGTGTACCTTCTTACACAGCGAAATGCAAGATTTTGTCCCTGAAAATGAACAAAGTTAAGTTCAGTCTTCAAGTTAGCATCTTTCAGTTGACAGAATTTATATTTTTTTATAAACCCTTTTCAAAAACCCAGTCATTTGACATTTCCAAGACTGTACTCTCTATTTACCAGTGCTTATTTTCCAGCATGTATACAATGCATGTAATGGGTATATAGTTGATTTAGGATGATGTCTGTTTCAACTTTGGAGCCACATTGAACCTAATAATCTTTTGTATGCATTTCTAACCACTGAAAGAAGGCATAGTGAAGGTGGACAGTTTTTTTTCTTAGAATTGAGATATTGAGTCAAGCAACAAGACAGAATTGCAGTTCATTCTGTTACAGAAATCCAGTTAAATCTCATTAAAAAAGTAATAAAAGCATATATGTGTTATTTCTGTTTCATCCTTTAAAACTATTATGTACCTTATCAAGCTTCATGACTTGTAAGCCTGCCATCTTAAACTTCGTAGAAGAACTGGGACCATCTCTGAAATAAACTGAACAAGTTTCCATGCAAGTCAAACTTCAAACAAGCTTCTTTATAGAAAACTGCAGGGATTTACTTAAAACATCAAAATGTGTTTTACTCTGATCTCCTCTGTGTAGTCAATGAAGAAATCATTAACCCCTAATATAAATAAAGTTTTCATCTTAATGGCAGTGTGACAGGTGTTTTACTCTGCAGAGGACTTCCTGTGGTGAAGTTGCTTCTTGGAGTGATGAAGAGAACAAGCTTCTGAAATGATTAGTTAGTTGCTCTCTTCCTAGTTGTGATCATTTAATGTTATGATTAGGCTTTACACCTTTAAAATTATCTGAGACAACTTGTAGTAGGTGAACTTCATGTGTACCAGGTGGACGAATACTGGGGCTGCTGGCAGATCTATATGTAATTATATACTGCCTTTCATCTTTCCTGAGTCATGTGCTAGTGAGTCCTACAGCCTACAGAGGTAGTGAAACATGCCCATGCTGAAGTCAGACACCTCTGCAACTCTTTACTGGATAGCCATTTACTGAGGAGGGTAACAGACTTTTAGTCAGACCACATACAGCCCCTATCATGCCCTACTCTCTTTCTGTGCTTGGGAATCTGCTTGATTTTTCTCTGTGAAGACTTTGTGTTCTGGTGTGGCCAGTGGAGCTGGACATCGGGTTACAACATCCAAAGCAGATCAACTGCTGATCCCCCTGATTTTACTCAAATGAACCAAACTGTTGCTCGAATTTCTTCACTAAAGGTCTGTATTTGTGCAGCCAAAGGTTACGAGTGGTATTCCAAATGTTGCATGCATGTGACGAGCTCACAAGCAGTGTTTAGACCATGGTTGGCTGTAGGCCACTAAAAGTATTTCTGTCTTTCATAATTTGAAGTGGTGTTTTTGCGTTGTTTTGGTCTGAAGCAATGATATGGAATAGCATTAAAGGCATGTCAGTTACATCACTGAATGAGATGGTATTTTTTGCTTTGTAAATATTTGCTGACATGACAATACAGAATAGGATCTAGGAGCACACAATACACTGGGGATAAATATGTTCCGATAGTCTTTCTCAAAGCACATAGAAAGGATAAAAAGTAATTTAATAATATATCCTGGGTTGATGATCATGATTATTATGTTGTGAAATTAAAAGAGATACTGAAGAGAAAGCAAGGCCTGTTCAGCTTTTTAAAAAGCATTATATCTTGGCGAGTCCAAGACCACCTACACTTTTTATTAAAAAAGAAAACAATCCTTTGGATTCTGTTTTTCTGTTATTTCCAAGCAGGATAAACTAGTGAGACTGCATACATGGAGCTTTAATATGGAGACTTGGTCTTGCTTTCAGCCAAAGTAAACCTTTGCACTCTGTGCGATTTGATATTGTCTTTCTTATTTCAGACTAAAAGAGGCTGACCTGTTTGTCATTGCTCTTACTTAAGACTGCTGATAAGAAATCTGTAGATGAGGGCAGCACATACAAAAAGTGCCATTTAATGGCTACCAAACCTAACCAGACTGTAATTTCTGCTGAAGATATTAAGAATATAAATAAGCTGCTTACAAGACATCCTCTTGTCCCAGTGGAAGGACGGGCATTGATGACTCAGCAGTCCAGCGTAGCACTAATCAATTTTTTTAAGTGTCCTGGAAATGCCAGCAACACTTATGCACAAGTAGTGATATTCACTTAAAGTGTTTATTTATGCTGTTAAGTCCTTTGAAGTTCATCGGAATAACAAACAGAGAGGTCTTCCAGATGCTTCCATTTTTTTCTTTTGACTCATTTTCCCAGTTTACAGTATGCAGGTAATACCATATAATTACAAGAAGTCTTATATTTTGTTTCTCCTATTTTGGTTGTTTATGTATACTTGGAGATGAAAAGTGGGAGATAAAAAGTACTTATTTACTCTATAATGTCTAACTGAAACATCATTTGCTCTTTTTTATCTGTTATTGAACAAACATTCACTTAGTCTAGGAAAGTATTCCTAGTCCATATCTTCAGACTAAGCATCACTATATATATTTTAAACTTTAAACTCAAAAGTTTAAAGAAAAAGCAGACCAAACCAGACAGCATAGTGTCAAATCATTTCAGTATGTAAACAACTGAAAGCCTTGGAATCAGTATCTTCTGATGTGGGTTTGAAACCATAACATCAGATGACTCAAGATAAGACTCTGTGCTGTTGTGGTTTTCATTAGGAACAAAAAAAAATAAAAAAGGAATTTCCAAAGTTTGATTTGCTTGTGCACCACCAAAATACAAAGAAAAATCGTGCTTTATAATTCTGGGAAACTGCCAACATCTTTTGGCTCTTTCATGGCCAGTACAAATGGATGTGCGCCATTAACTCTACCCTCTTCTTCCCTGCTTTGACCTGTACCTAATCATGAGGAAAAGTATTCGGTGATTTTGTCAGTATTCTCTCACCAAATAGGCGTCAGGAGTCTGATCTTGGGAGAAGATACAATTGTGTTGTTTTCTGGGTTTTGTTTGTTTTGTCGTTTTTTTTTTTTTCTAGATTAAGTGTGGAACAAGTTGATATTAAACGTCCCTCCAATCCAAGACGTTCTATGATTCTATAATTTCATGATACTGGGAGAAATTCTTTACTGTGAGGGTGGTGAGGCACTGGCACAGGTTGCCCAGAGAGGCCTGCTCAAGGCCAGGTTGGATTGGACTCTGAGAACCTTGTGTAGTGGAAGGTGTCCCTGGTCATGGCAGGGGAGTTGGAACTATATGATCTTTAAGGTCCCTTTCAACCCAGACTATTCCATGATTCTATGGTTTTGTGTTTTCATGTTTCCATGATTCTATGAAATGTCTCTGGTATTACTAATGATATAGGAACCTTGAGTTTGGAACGCACTTATTGAGTTCTTTTATAATAGGCTTGTATACATTTTTTAAAGGACTCTAGTAACATAAAATTGTGTCAACTGTAAAATGGATAGAATAAATTTGGTTTTATAGGCTTTATATCCCCAATTTCATAGATTTTGTATAAAAATGTGTATTTTAGGCTTCATCAGTTATTTTTAAAAAAACCTTAATAATTTCCCTGTAGTAATACACTTTGGTCTACAATTGTTTAATTGTTGATGTCTCTTATCTATATAATTAACAGTTTGGACTGAAGTATCAGAAGATATTGCATGAGAATTCCAACCCTGACTCAGCAGCAAGAAGCATGTAGGAATTCTTTAAAGGAGCTTGAAACGTGTTTTATCAGACAGATGTATATCATACGGTGAAAGTCACTATAAACTCCCCGGCCAGTCTCTCAAAACATCGTGGGTGTTTTTTGGTGTGGTGTTGTTTTTGTTTAGTTGGTTGGTTTTTTGTTTGGTTTTTGTTTTGGTTTTGGTTTTT